AAAAAAAAAAAAAGGGGGGGGGAAGGGGTTAGAGACACTATCAGTGTATGGTATAACATGGTTGTGAGCATATGTGAAGTCTCGTATGTGACCCGCCCTGCTTTTAAAGCCACCGTCTCTGAACCAGCTGCATCAAACCTTGTAAAACAATTTCACAACTGAAATTCCAGCCAGATGTTACAATGGCGGCGTTGTGCTCCCCTTGGCCCAGGCTTTACTCAGAGATGTTTTCAAACTGTTTAAAAAACATTCTTCGAGTACTGGGTCACTAGCCTTCCTCTGGGCAGGACAGCTAGTGCCCGGGAGGGAGCACAGATACAGTTCTGTGGACTTAGCGGACGTAAATCATCTAGGGGTGAAATATTGGGCCCAGCACCCCTTAAAAGTGAGGTGCAGAACTGAAGTGGAGCTGGAGTTAAGCCCCGGTATATTTTCAGGGTGGCTGCAGTAAACCTGCCTCGGGGTCAGTGGCACAGAGAAGCTGGAGCTGAAAAAACCTCACCCCAGTGCTGTTCTCTGACCATCTAGCAGGCATAAAAATGCAGGGCATTCCAGGGCATCTTCTGGATGTTGGAGGGGGACAGGGTTTTCTCTCTGCGGGGTGTGGGGGGGTGGAAGGGGGATGCCAAGTGTAGGTGAGAGGAAAAGCATTTAATTTCCCCCTACAGTCTCGTCCACCTCCCACGCTCCTGTGCAGCGCTTTGTCGTCATTACGCTAGTGCCCAGAGGTGCCAGGCTCGCATAGTGCTGCGCGACAGTCCCTGCCCCAACGAGTTTGCTGTCAAAATAGCCAAAGGGTGGGAGAAAGGAAGTTGTTTTGGAGGCCCCACTTGCTACGCCAAAATAAACAATCCGGGACCCCCATTGTGCTAGGCGCTGTACGTGCACACACGCACACGTTGTATTATCACCGTTTTACAGCTGGTGATTGATGTCAGGTGGGGAACTGAGGCACAGAGAAATGGCGACTTGCCCAAGGTGGGACAGGCAGGCTGTGGCAGACCCAGGATCTGAGCCCCAGGCAAGTGCCCTATCCACAAGCCCATCCTTTCTCATCTGTGCAGCGGGTCATGGATGCTGCTCTGTTCTTCTGTGGCCTTTTACTGAATGGAGACCATAGTTATTCTACTGGCCCCCTGAGATTAATGGTGGCAGCCGTGACACATGGCAGTGCTCACCCGGCCTGCCTTGAGAGGGGCCACGGCTGAACCTCTCCCTTTCCAGGCCAGCCCCGACAGAGTCCCGTGATTGTACAACTGAGGCTTCTGTGTGCAGCGGACGCCTCTGCACTCTCCCATGCTGGTCTTTGCATGGATGCTCCTGTGCAGGGCATGCGCCGGGGGCCCATGCATGCAATGTGGAAGGGGGTATTACCAGCGTCCATGGAGCCACTCGAACAGGAATACCCCACCGAGCCGTGCTGCAATCCTGCCCAGTAGGGCAGCTGTTTGGATCGGGATTGCACTGTTTCAAACTGTCATGGCCAGTTCAGGGCAGCTGATTCCCTCTGCCCACCTGCTAGGGGAGGGGGGGACGGGAGGAGAGCCGGTGGAGACAGCCTCAGCTGCTCCCTTCCCGTGGAGCTGTGTGTCTCCAGTTGCTGCCTGGCAGAGGGCGCTCGCACAGCTGCTGCCTTTTGCCGAGATCAGAGCAGTTGCGAGGAGCCGGGCGCACATACGACACGCCGGGCAGCCAGGGCCACGTGTCCCTCATTAAAATCGCTCCACCACCCTCTCGGGAAAAGCCAAGCTCATCAAGCCATTTTGGTGCCCAGCTGCTCGAGGGCTCGCTTGTTCTACTGCTTGTGCAGCAGTTTTCAGTTTGCGTGGTGCTTTACAGAACAAGCAGAACTTCACTGCCCCTCCTCCCAAGAGCTGTGTCGGAGTTGAGCAAGCTGGCAGTCATGCTGAGTGTGGGAGGGGCTGTGTGTGGAGGACAAGTCTCCGGGCTGGTCTCCATCCCAGAAACAGTCCTGCTGCAGAAGCTAGTTGCAGCAGGAGAAGTCCCCCGGCCTGCAACACGGCCAGTGGTGTGCCGTCCTGCAGCGTAGATCAGATCAAACCACCATGTGGTCATGTCCGCTAACCATGCGAACAAGCCTAGGCTGTGATGGGGTTTGCAGACGGATCACAGAACCTGGCTGAATCCTGTTTGTAAAATAAACCCTATGCAGGGATGTGCTAGAGTCTTAACAGATCGCCTAGCGTCAGTGTTCAGGTGGGCTTTTGTGTGGAGGCTTCAAACTCTGCAGATTGGAAGCGAAGGCCAGGTCTACACCACAGACTTCTGCTGGCATAGCTGTGTGGTCAGGGATGCGATCCGTGATCAGCAGAGACAAGACAGGCAAACCTCTCTAGCGTGGATACAGCTATACTGACAAACGGTGCACTCGTACCGGTATCATTTGTTTCATTTGGGAGGTGAGGCAGGTTTATTGCACCGGTACAAAGGCAGTGTCACTGCGTCCACACTAGGAACGCTTTGGTGGTACTATAAAGCCCTCCTAATTCAGTCGCCATTGTTCCTTCGCTCCCTGGTCGTCGTCCCTGTCAGCCCTGCCATGCTGGGTGTAATTCTGCCTTGTCAGCCCTGGCATTTACTCCCTCAGTAATAGCCATTGCAGGCCTGTCCGTATTTACTAGCCATGGTGGGGGTTGGGCATTTGTCCCTCCATATTAACATGAAGGCCCCTGACTGACCCCCGTGCAGTAATGTCGCTGTCTGTGTGCTCACACTTCCTAGATGTCTGTGTTAAATGCCGAACTGTCCCGTTCTGCTTGTGAATTCAGGGGAGACACCCGGCTACAGGCGGCCAAGGGCTAGTGTCCTCTCGCTTGGGCTGAACAGGCTGGGGTGAGACTGGCCAGCCTCTTAGTGAGCAAAGCTGCACCCGTGAGACTGACCCCGACTCGTGCATTGCAGGGAGAGATCCCTTGGTGTAAATGGGGTGTGTAGCGTAGAGGTGGAGAATAGCAAATGCTGGCTGTCAGTTGGAGTGTAACTCTCCCTGCCTGGGGGGCTGGGTGATGAGTGGATTGGGGAAGGGTGGTGCCGGGAATTGGACCAGGGTCTGCAGCCTCCGTGATCATGGTTGTGGCAGGTGACCTTTCAAGTCTTTGTGGCCCAGCATCTGTAGAGGTTTGGGACTGTTTCTGCCGTACGCCCAGAGGTGAAATGGGGACTCTCCAGAGGTGAAATGGGGACTCTCCGTTGGAGTGATTTGGGTTGTTGATTTTGGGTCGGAGCGGAGAAGGTTGGACTCCGGAGCGAATAGTTAAGAGAGACACTGCACGCTGCCAATCCAGCAGAGAGCAGGTGAGCTCCTTTCAGAATCACAAGGTCCAGCCTGTCCCATTCATTACACTTCCTCCTGGGATCTCCGCCTCCTCCCCCCACGAGAGGGGTTGGATGCTTCCGGATTTGGCCACGTAGGGGATATCTGTGCTGCGTGCGAAGCCCAGGACACTGGGACCTGGGCGTGTTTCCAAGGCCGTGATTGAGTGTCTGTCTGCACTGCATTGGTAACCTGGGTTTACAGTGGCTGGATCTGGTCTCTCAGCTGCGCTAACGTGTCCATGCTGCACTATGCAGACTCCAACTCGGGTCTGCAGCTGGCCCTGCTTCCACATTGCAAAAGGCCAGGGCTTCGACCTGAATTGCAACAGTTCTGACCCACCCCTAAGACCCAGTGCTTGCTGACCTGAGTCGGGTTGATTGGTGTGTGCATGGAATTGGGGCTTGGGCCCGGTGTGGACAAACCCTTCCCCTCCTCCTTTCTAAGGGCTGGCTGGGTAACTCACCTTGGTGCACTGTGGGGAAGAGAAGGGTCATTGGGAAGATCTAAGAGGGACTCTGGCCCAGGTAGGGAGAGGACTCAGCTAGTGCGAGCACGTGGCTTTCTCTCTCCACTGTCCATTGAGGTTAACGCTCTAGCAACGCTTGGTGTTGCGTATTAACGCCTCTGTTTTACTTTCACAGAACATACAACTCCAGCCAAAGTGGTGAGGGCTGCAAACCCCAGGCAGCGGAAAGGAAGCAAGGTACGTCTGCCTCTTCCCATTTCTGGTGGTGTATTACCTGGCGCTCGCTGTTTGTCTTCTGCATTGCAGCAGCACTTAGAGGCCCAGCCGCGATTGGACCCAGTGTGCTGGGCGCTGTACGTACGCGTAGGGAGACAGAGTCCCTGCCCCCAAGAGCGCTTAGCCTCACAGACAAGACAGGCAAAGCATTGGAGGGGAAGTGACTTGCCCCAGGTCAGTGACAGAGCTGGGATTAGACCCCAGGTCTCCTGGACTCCCAGGTCACTGCTCTGTCCACTAGACCACGCTGCCTCCCCTGCCACTAAGGGCAGTATTTTTGTTACGTCACCGGGGAGCAAGCTGTCTGAATAGTGCATGCATTTCCACTCCCTAGCAGCCAGGGGTGGCTCTTCACCCACACACCCTGCAGCTCTGCACAGCCGCTGGTTCTGGGTGGCCGCCGGAAACCTGCGCGTGCCTCCAGCAGCGTGTGATGCTTCCATGGCAGTGCCCAGCTCTGGGCCATGGCAGTGCTGCAGAGGGCACCTTTCTCCCAGCTGCTGCGTTTACAAGAGCGTGCCACTCTGAGTTGTCAGTCCGGCCAGGCTCTTGCCTAGGACCTGTCATCAGAGCATCTCCTAGGGCTCTTCTCAGCACCCTCAGAGGCAGGGGTTGTGCCTAGATGCCACGGTGACGGGCACAACTTAAATTGGTGCCCTCTGCCCACCTGTATGTTGGGTGCAATGCCTGCCCGCCTCCCGGGGGCGGGTGTGAGCCCATGTGCCCGTCGGACGGATCGATGTCGGTGAAGCGGATGGACGATGCACAGCGCCATGTGGGTGCCTAGAACGACCATCATTCCCCACACGCTTGGACCTGCTCCGTGCTGTCCCTCGGAGGCTGTTGTTTCTTCTTCGAGTGTTTGCTCATGTCCAGTCCATATTAGGTGTGTGCTCACCGCATGCACCAGTGCCGGAAGTTTTTCCCTTAGCAGTATCCGTAGGGGACAGGCTCTGGCGCCCCCTGGAGTGGCACCTGCATGGCACAATATAAGGGGTGCTGCTGACTCCCCCCACCCTCAGTTCCTTCCCGCTGTCAGTGATGGTGGGGGAACTTCAGCTAGCTTTCGCCTAGTTCAGTGTGTCTCTTTGTAAAATAGTTGTGTTTAGTTCAGTATTTACCCTTAGTATTCGTTCTAGATAGCTGGTCCCGGATGGGACTCAGCCTAGGGATGGGGGATGCCCTGGGGATCCTCAGGCTTTAAACCATGCGATCGTTGTAAGTGCCCCATGCCCACAGCGACTCTCACGTTAGCCATTTAAGGTGTCTAGAAGGACACATAAGCGACAAGCGTCGCATCTGTAAGTCGTTCAGACCCAGAATGAAAAAGGAGAGAGCCGTCTGTCTCAGGACACCCCGATGGAGTCGGCACTGACCCCAGTACCAGAGCAGAGGTCCGACTCGACCCGGAGCGCCCCGAGCTGGCACCGATCCCCCTCCCTGGCCCTGGCAAGCCCTACAAGCAAAATAGCGTAACGTCTTGTGGCGTTAATGTTCCTCCCCTGCTTGGTTGGGAAGCGACAGCCACGCCCTGCCTCTTTCCCCCTGCAAACACCTCTCGTTCTCAAAGAATCAGGTTTGAAAACTAGATCGAGTGGAGACACCAATAAACGGTCTAACTCCCTGCAAACCAAACTGCTTCGCTGGCAAGCTCCAGCCCCACAGGGGAAGGCGCATGAATGGTGTGTTGTGAGTGGCCTTGGTGGCTGCTCTGGGTGGATTGAATTGAAACCAGATGCCTGTTCTTGCCGTCAATTGAGCACAGAGCTCTGCTGCTCTGTGCTGCTGTTGGCTGGTGTAATTGGCAGCACTTGATTGCAATTGTGCTGTTTAATGTGCATGAGCCCTGCAGTCATCTGCCGCCAGGTGGCACGAGCGTTTAGAATGAACTTCAAAGTGAATTCGGTATCCCAGCTGGATTACTCCTCTTTAAGGGAAACGGGGCTGGGCTGAAACCCCGCCGAGCCTTGCAGTTGTGGTCTGACCCCACCAGGCGGCACCAGGATGATGTTGGAGTTCAGCTCCAGACATCTGATTGCGGAAATAGAGGGGATTTAGAGACTGACAACAAAATTGCCTAGGGGGCTAGAGAGAGCAGGTTGGCCTAGGGAAGAGATGATCCTTCCACGCAGTAGTGAGGAGTATAAAGAGGGTGTCAGCAGCTGCATTTCTGATTTTATCACACTGCTCATCTGGGTGAGCTGTTGGCCACGGGGCTTGAACCTGACCCTTGTGGCTCTGAACATGTGACCGTCTTCTCTCTGAGCTAAAAGCAGGGTCATCCAGCTCTCTGGCCAGCTAGCAGTAGGAAGGTACAGCGAAGCGCCCAGAGTGGGTCTGCGGTGCACTCATCCATCATTCAAGAATAGGGGGCTGTTCAACGAACTCCGAGGCAGCACATTTAAAACCACCGGACAATAATATTTTATGCCATCTGTAACTAGCTGGTGAAACTTGTTGCCCATGAGGTCACTGAGATCAAGTGCTTAACAGGATTTTAAAGAGGGTGACACTTTATGTGGATAATAATTATTCACGCTTCTTAGACAGGATTTTAAGGGTTATACACCCTGAGGCTTCAGGTCATAAACCAACCTTGGATCCCCCGGGGTAGGCAGCAACATCCCCTTTGGGCATGTTATTCCATGGCTGTCCACGAGGATGTTTCTTGTCTCTTTCTCTGAAGCATCTGGTACTGGACGCTGCTGGATGGTGTCAGGGCTGTTGGTCCGATCCTCTAGGCCAGGCCCTGTGCTCTGGAAGGGGGAGGAGGGATATTGGCCTATTGAATGCGAGGAAGCAGCCCGTCAGAACCAGCGCTTGAGATTACTGTACTAACGAGATCTCTGTGTTTTTTGAATAAAGGTCGGTGACTTTGGTGATGCCACGAACTGGCCGACCCCTGGAGAAATAGCCCACAAGAGCATCCAGGTAAGAAGCAAGACCCTGCGAACAAAACCCTCTACTGTACAGCAACATCCGAGCTTTTCCTGGCGAATGAGTGATGTCCCCTCTTCTCTCTGAAGGCAGAGAGCTCTAGAAAAGTTGACTGCTCAAGACCAAGATGTCCTGTGGGCTTTTCCTCTGGAAGCAAGGTCTCCTGAGGGCTTCTCTGTCCCTAAAACAGCTGAAATTGACACTGTCAGCTGAAATCTTCCTTTATCACATTTCAATGCCTATTTTACCAATAACACCACAGATTATTATAGCAGGGTTCGGAAAAGTTACCTGAGACCTGCTAGTTGATGGACTAGTCCTGCTAGCCACAGTGGAAAGAGCTAGGCTGCTACTCCCTGGAATGCAAGGAAGAAACAGCTGTGTATTGTTTGTGTATGTTTCTTAACTGTATTTCTCTGGGCAGATTCTAATGCCTTTACAATGTAAGTTTGTGTGAGTTGCTTTCTTTGTTCCCTTCGCTTTTCTTGTAACAGGCCAGCATATATTTCCCTGTGCTGTTTTCAGTGTCTGTTTTCCTCTTTGCTTTCTCGCTCTCTGGCTCTTCGTCAGACTAGTCTCACCTTTAATGGGTCCCCTCTGTTTCCCTTATACACCCTCTAGTTCTTGACACATTCAGCAGCCTCCCAGTAACCAGAGAACTCAACGTACTAAAAGGCCCAGCTGCCCTCAGGCAGCACTCGAGCCCAGCCAGCTTTCTTTAGCTTCCTACCAAGGTGATGCCTCTGGACCCTGCTCGCTCGGGGCGTGGTTTATCATGTGTAGTCTCCTGCTAGTGGGTTCCTGAGCTTGAAGCCCCCTTGTGTTACTAGAAAGGAGCAGCAGTTGTCTGCTAAATGTAGCCACCTTTCTTATAAAGACTTACCCAGTGAAGAGCACCAGCTCATGTCTCAGCGGCTCACTGCTTTCCCAGCAGCAACATGAAATTGGCCCCGTTGTTGTCAGTTTCCTTGTAACCCACAGGGTTCTGAATTGTTGCCATGAAATTGACCCAAGCACTTATTAATTTCAGGCTGCTGCTGTTGAACAAAGCTCTGAGCAGCAGCGGAGGTGCCGAGGCCGCGGGCAGCCTCGGCAAGATGGCATTGCATCAGCTTTATGCTAGAGTGATGTTTAAAGGCGATCCCTGCAACCATAAGAGCTAGAATCTCCTCTATCTATTGTTAAAATCGTAGATCCTGCAGGTCTTGTTTCGCTTCCGTTCCTAGGCAGTTTTGCATTCCAGTTCGGGAGGCGGCGATGTTTGGGTTGGACGAGCAGGGGAATGGATATTTTAAACATCGGTTTGTCAGAATTGCGAACACACAAGCCTGGGTGTGTTGCTTAGGTTGGGTAAAAGATTGCTTTTACATGGTTCAGATTTGAGACGGGACTTGGATTGTCCCTTTAATAATAATAAAAAAGCTAAAGGAGCAGTTTGAGCCGTCAGTGAGGAACATTCTGTGCCAAGCTTCCACTTGCTTGTGTGAGTTGGAAGCACTTTCATCTACCCGCTGAGAAGACACTTGGCTGTTCAGAATACCCCAAATCAGCACAATTACAGTGACCTGTGTGCCTGGGGGGATGAATGCCGCTTTCTAAACACAACCTCCCTGTGGCTCAGAACGTACCAGGCTCCTGCAGCCTTCTCAAGCCGAGGGAGAAATGAAGCCAGATGCCCTCAGCTTGTGCGGCTGTTCTGAAGTTGGTATCACAACATGCTGCTTCCTGAAGTGGAGATGAGGTGGCCTCTCTCCTCTAACCCAGCTCCTCTTTCAGCCTGGAGTTCCTCCCCTTCCCTGACCCTCCAATTCTGCACTGTTGTCCTCTAGAATTAACCCTTGAGGTGAAACTGTTTTTTCTTCCTATGTTCCCCTGCCCACTAATCACCGAAACAAATAGTTTGGGACCTTTGCAGGCCAGAAGGAAGTGGTCCGGTTGTGAAGCCGGTGACCCCATGCTGGTTAAAACTGCACTTTCATGACCGCCTTAGCCAGCCCCGTCTGCGGTGTGTCAGCACAGATGACCCTCCTGCTGGGAGAAGGGCTTGTGTGCCAGGAAGGCTCGCACCCTCCAGGCTGCTCCCTTGTCACTTCCATACATGAGCAGCCCCCAGCTGGCTGTAATCCACGTATGTTCTCCGCGTGTTAGCACATGTTGGACAGTAGGTTACATGGGAGAGCCCCTCTGTGCACTGCTCATCTTGGAGGCAGGAGGCCCCAGGGGAATCTCAGCCAAGAGCGTTCATCGGTGTTGTTTTCTATGGGGGGGAGGGGGCGTGTCGGAGCTGGAGTTCAGGGTATGGCCCTGTGGGCACTGCCTCTCTCCTGCTGTAGCGCTGGTCGCTCCAGCTGAGCGACTCTTCGGGGTGCAGGGCATCGGCTCAGGAGGCAGCCAGGAATAGCTTGCTGTGGTCCCGAGTACAGAGGATTTCCTTTTAGGGATTCCCTGCACGTTGGGCTCCCTCGCTCAGCGGTGCTATTCTGGGCCAGGGAGCCTGGATCCTGTTCTGAACCCCGGGCACAGCGAGTCAGGCAGGGAAGTGCAGTAAGCCGGCTCTCTGGTGACGGGGGTCGAGTTACCCAGGTGAAAGCAGAACAGCCTGTGGCTTGGTGCCTGCTAACACTGGCACTCATGAGGGGCATGGCCCCGCGCTGCTGCAGCCAAGATGCTGGAGCTGTCAAAGTCCTTCTATTTTTGGCCACCTTCCTTTCAGCATTCGTTTCCTGGCCATGCAATAGCTGCTGTCTGTCAGTGCCCCATTGCTACCCAGCCTCTCCCCCCTGTGGTGAGAATCTTCATCAGATCCAGCATCTCAATGCAACAGGCAGCTCTGAGCATCCCTTATGTCCCCTCCCTGTATTTAGGAATCCTGTCCCCACTGTTGTTTCCCCTCGTGGGGGTGAGGGGGGGCAACTCTTGTCGGTACCAGGCCCGAGTGTGCACTGGGAGTGATGATAGCACAGGCAAAGCTCGTGCCGGCTTGTCTTCAAGCCCTTGCTAGCTAAACTGCTCTTTACCAGGACCTGATGTCTCCCCAAGGTGAGATGCTGGGATCCCGTCCCCAGACTAGTGACTGTCCTTCCCGCTTCCCCTCTGCGGGGCCAGATGGGCGTGGCCCTGGCAGGTGGATCTGACCAGCTCTGCGGAGTCTGTCCTGAGCCAGCTCCCACCACCCTTTGCCTCACCTGCCTCGCTCTTGTCTCCAGCAGCCGCCCAAACCCCAGCCCCTCCGGAAGCTGCCCATCAAGAAAGACATGAAAGAACAGGAGAAAGGGGACGGGAGCGATGGCAAAGAGAACCTGAAAACCAAATCGGACGAGTCCGGGGAGGAGAAGAACGGGGACGACGACAACCAGAAGTTGGCCCAGAAGAAGAAAGGTGAGGATAGGGGCAGGGTGGGCGAGATCCCGGGGGGCTGCTGGAAGATTGGGCATTTGGTTCTGGCCGAGCCAGCTTCCATGGCATCGTGACCTTTGATGTTCTGCTGCCCTGGCTATCGGAGTTCTCTGGCCACATCCAGATGGGCGATTGTAACCTGCGTCCCTCGGGGCTGCATCTGAAATCCATTCACAAGCTGGTGCAGAAGCAAGGCATGGTGCCTGCTAAGCAGAGAGTCCTGCTGTTTCGCCATCCGCCCTGGCTGCCTTTTGGGTTGCTGGATAGAATTACTGGTGATTGGCTTTTGGCCTATGAAGCCCTGAATGGCCTGGCACCTACCAACCTGAGACTCCCCAACCCTCCCTTTCCTTCTCTCTCCCTTCCCCCCAGTGCAGCCACAGCTATTGAGTGGACCTGCATCAGTTGTTTGCAGGGTGTTTCCCATGAGTGTCCCTCTGCTCTGGGATTCGCTCCCCTACTCTGTTTGATCCAAACTAGTCCAGCTCTGTTCAGCTCCAGGGGAAGTTCCTCTTTTCTACAGCCTCTGGGGAGAGGGCATTAGCTAACCTCTGCTGGTAGGGATCAGCTGGCGAGGGGGTCTCCTGCTGGACGATGTTAGAGGCACGTGGAACCTGGGCTATGTAGCTGCTTGTAAACAAGAAATAATGGATAGGCGTGGGAGGGAGTGAGGCTTTGTCCCTGGATCTGAGGGGGCAGCCGGTGCCGGGCCTGGAATCTGTGCATCGGCCACCTCTGCCCTCCAGGAGTCTTGGCGTCACTCCTGTTCCCTCTCAGAGTAGCTGGGGTAGCAAAGAGTCAGGGGACGTCTACACTTACACTGCTACAGCGGCCCAGCTGCAGCACTCCGTGTAGACACGCCCAGTGCTGACAGGCGGGGTTCTCCCATTGACGTAGTTAATGCACCTCCCCGAGAGAATTCGTCCGTCAACCTAGCACTGTCTGCATGGGGATTTTTCACAGCCCTGCGAGATGTAACTATGCCCAATGCAGTTCCCAGTGTAGACCAGCCCTCAGCCGGTTGCTGGTGCAGGGACAGTCCCCATGAGACTGCAGAGAGAGGGGCAAACGTGTCTGAAAGAAGCAGCCTGCAAAAATCAGCAGAACTAGAAAATCAGGAGCATGGCAGTGCCGCCCCTCATCTCATGGGTACAGGGACCTTTCTGTAGACCTTGATGAGTTCTGGGAAGACCATAGCCTGCCTCTCGGATGGATGGATGGGCCCCATTCATCATCTTTCCTGGGGCAGTGGCTGGCTGTGCACTGGGACATGTCAGTTGCACTTGACCCTAAAAGGTGGCTTTCCAGGGGAAAGCCTGTTTCGATCCCAGGGCACAACAGGCAGTCCAGCAGTGAGCGAGGTGCACGCAGTGGCAAGAACAGTCTTGGTCTCCTCTTTGTGCTTTGAAGTTCACCAGGTGAGGTCCGAGGTCCATGTGTGACTTTGGGGCCATGTGCAAGTGCCAAATACATGGGGCAGAAAGCTTTGAAGTCCAGTGGTTCTACCAGCAGCACCATGGCCCTGAGCTCCCCAGAGCGGCAGAGACTGGGAGTAAGGGAGCAGCTCCCGGCCCTCCTGTGCTGTGGTTCGCAGTCTCTCGGAGTCTGTTTTCAGGGCACTGGTCCAGCAGCAGCCGCACAGAGGGATCTGTGTGAGAGGCCCAAGCGCCTTCTGGCCTGGAATTGGATGCATCCTAGATTCTCTCCCTGCTTGAACATGCAGGGAGCCAGGGGAGGGTGGGGGTGGAAGCAAATATTTGTTCTTCCTTTTAAAGCTGTGTCACGCCCTCATTCAGGCAACAAGCACAAGTGGGTCCCTCTGCAAATAGACATGAAGGCGGAGGCGCCCAGGGACAAAACGGCCTCTCGGAATAACCGGCAGAACGAGCAGCACCGGCACCTCTCCAACAACCGCAGTGATTTGAAAGGTGGGTGGGCTGGGCTGGGGCGGGGTCAGACGGTAGCTCCCCTGTCTCAGCACCTGGTGGCGCTGCTGCAGCATTCCCAGCCTGCCGGTGGCATTTCCACAGCCATCACCGGCGTTGGAGACTTGCAAGGGCAGGGAGCAGCGCCTGGACGCTGCGGTCAGGGGCACGCTACGAACGATATCCAAAGGGAAGCTCTGGGGATGGTATCAGTCGTGGTACGCTAATGCCAGGTGGGCCCTTTCCCAGCCACGCTTCTCCAAGGCAGGAGAGGGTCGGGGAAAGCCCGGGCTCTGCAGCATTTGCCCCCGAGGTAGAGAGCTCATTGGGCACAGAGCAGAGAAGGGCTTTAGCCTTGTCACGTGTTCAGGGAGCATTGCACAGGGGATGGAATTGCTTTAGATGCTAGACTCTGGTCCCTGCCAAAGGACAAGGGGGAAGCGTCCCTCGGCCGGGGTGCAATCCTCAGGCCTAATTGCACATCAGAGTCCGCAGAGGGCGCTTTGACCTCACCTCTCATGTCCCTCCTGTGCCCGGCCTTCCTCCTCCGCAGGCTGGCACCCGGATAACAAGCATGAGCGGAACTGGCCTGATCACGACGAAACCTCCAGCGTCAAGAGCGAGGGAGGAGCGGTGCGAGGAGCCTTCCGGGGCAGGGGCCGCGGCCGAGGCCGGGGCCGGAGTCGAGGAAGAGGAGGCACTCGCTGTACGTATAGCCCTGTTCTGGGTGTCTGTAACTGGGCATGATGCAGTCAGCAATGGGCTGCACCCCGTCCTCGGAGTCCCTTTTGTAAGGGGACAGTGACTGACTGCTGCTGCTGGAGTGATGGGGGCTTGGAGCTGGTTTGTTTTTCAGGAAGGTGGGAAAGGATTTGGGGGTGATGGTGTTTGCGTGCCCATGGGAACAGTCAAGCCTGTCTCATTCCTCACAGCCCTGTGTCTTCAGGTCACCTGGGGTGCGAGCATTCACCACAGGCCAAAACCCACCGAGCTAGAAAATACCGTTACTCACCACGTGGAACGGTAGCCATGGAGCTGATAAACAGCCCTAGTTTGGTACAGGTCAGCCGCAGAAATGGGTCCTGCACAGACGGAGAAAAGTGTCGTCCGTGCTCTGGGTACCTCGGCGTTTCGCCAGACAGACAATTCAGGCAATTCAGGACTGTCGGTTAGCGCAGCACCGGGGTGGGATCACAAGTAACTCTGCCCCTCGGACGTGGCCTTGGATGTGGAGGGCACGTTGGCCAGGACACCCGGGCTGCCTGGTGGTTTGAGAAGTGTCGTGGGATCCATAAGTCATGTGTGGATGAGCATCCCGAGTGAGGGTTAAGGACTGGCCTTTCTGAAGTGTTTATATGGTCCCCATTGCGGTCCTCCTCTGTAAATGGGGAGCTGAGGCCCAGGGAGACTGTGACCTACCCAAAGTAACACCGGAAGCCTGGCAGATAGGGACTTGAACCCGGTACCGGCGAAACCCGGGTCAGCACTGGATCACCTGTCTCCTCTCAGTAGGCGGCTAGCTCCTCCATCAGCGCATGGCTGGATCTGCTTTGAGTATGAGCCTAAGCACTAGTTGGGTTAAATTTTCCTCCCATCGTCCTCAGGCCCTGCGATGGAATGTACCCGCGGTGGCGCCGGGCCCTCCCAGTGCAGCGCTGTGAACTTGCGTTTCTGGCTGCTGGAGCCCTGCCCCACTCAGAGAAATGCAAGTTCCCCACCAGCCCCTGGCTGGGTGCCGGTCTGTGCCGTGAGCATGACAGAATAGCTGCTCCCAGTGAGGGGTCTCTGAGGGGGGGAGCCGGCCATGCCCATTCCAGCAAGGGGCTCCAAAGCCCCGGCTGGGCCAGGCAGTGCAGAAGACAGAGCGTGAAAGGAAAACGTGGCGAGGTGCCGCTAATTACAGAGCTATCGTGAGTTGAAGTGTGCTGTTGAGAGCTCCAGCCCAGAGCTGCAGCTTCTCTTCAGTCCTCTTCCTCGTGTTCATCATGGGGGGAGAGAATGAATGAGGAGAGAGGACTCCTGGATGATGGACCGCTCCCAGGGGATGGGGCTGCGTGAGCCCACTAGTTCATGTGGTGGTGATTTGTCATTTGCTGGGGCCATGAAAATCCAGCTGTCTTGGCTGTGACAACGGCCAGTGCTTTGTTCACCCGAAAGGCTCTGCCTTCCAGCTCTCCTGATGGCTAAAGCAAGGGGGGCGGCAGGGTTTTCAAGCTCCTGCCACTGTCTGGGTCCCTGTCCTTGCTCTTTAAGGAGACGGCTGGTAGCAGCAGGGGCTTTGCAAAGCTGGAGGGGTCTCTGCTGGAATTGCTGCAGTGTCTGGACACCTACCCCCAGCCCTTGTTCTGTTTGCCGTGGTATTTCGGGAATTGCCTTGGGGCAGGACTCTGTATTGGAATGGCTCCCTTCCATTGGTTCCTGTGCAGTTCTCCTTGTGACTGTCCAGAGTGCTGCTGGGTTCTGGGCCCTTACTGGGATTGCTGGTGCTGGTGGTACTGCCTGGGTTGTAGCACAATGCCACACCCTCAGGAAGATCATGAAGCCCCGGGGACAATAGATGTCACGTGCCCCCCTGAAAGTCCTGCCTTTGTTCCTCCCTCTCAGCGCACTTTGACTACCAGTACGGCTACCGGAAATTCGACAGCTCGGACGGCTCGCGCACCCAGAAGTACGCCAGTAACATCACCTACTACTTTGATAACGTCAGCAGCACAGAGCTGTACAGCGTGGATCAGGAGCTGCTCAAGGACTACATCAAGCGGCAGATGTAAGTGCTTCCCCTGGGGGCTGGGGGCGACCCTAGCCAGCAGAGCCAGGGATTGGGATTTGTCCTCTCTTGTCGTGGTGTAACGTGGGGCAGAGAAGCTCCGTGAGCCCGCACGGGGGCCGAAATCGGCTCAAAACGTGGTACCCGACTTACCTGAGATACTCAATAGACGCTGCCTCAGGAGGGAACGCAGCCACGTTCTTGCCACAGCCTGGCAGTCGATGCTTCTGTCTGCCATGGAGTTACCGAAACCAGAAGGGTGCGGCTTGTGGCTAGGGCATGGGACTGACTCCAGACCTGGGCTCAGTTCCCTGCTCTGCCAGAGACTCCCTTGAACAAGGCTCTTGACTCTCAGTCCCTCAATTCCCCACCTGTAAACTGGGTCTCTTGCCCACCCATGATCTTTGTTTAGACGATAAACTCTGTGGGGCAGGGACTCTGTGCACAGAACCTAGTCTGACGGGACCCCTGGCTGAGTTGGGACCTTCAGGTACCCTGGGATACAAGCAAGAGCGAACAGTCTGGCTGTGAGCAGGCCGGGTTGCAGGTGCAGGACTCTGGCTGTCGAGGCGAGGGGGCAGCGAAGTACAGGGGTGATGCCTTTCCTCGGGTCCAGCCCTCTTTTGGGGAGATGCATGAACTGATACGCCCCTCAGAGCTGAGCCACTACCGGAGAGTCACGTAACTTCCCTGGCAGGGATTGCGCTTGAGTTCTGCTTTGCCCGGCACCGCTAACGAGCTCCTCATGCGGCTGGCGGCCACACAGGGCAGCTTCCAGCATCTCCCTGCGGTCCCAGGGCGCCTGCTGTCACGGGAAAGGCTGGAGCTTCCAGCGGGAGGGGGCTCGTGGGGTCTGCGGTGCCTGAGCAAGGCGGTGATAGTCTGCATCTCCCTCCTTTGCTGCCGGTGCTCCGTGCAGAGAGTACTACTTCAGCGTGGACAACCTGGAGCGGGACTTCTTCCTGCGGCGCAAGATGGACACGGAAGGCTTCCTCCCCATCACCTTGATCGCCAGCTTCCACCGGGTGCAGGCCCTGACCACGGACGTCGGCCTCATCGTCAAGGTGAGGGCTCCTGACGGGGTCGCCTCTGGGAACGGGCTGGTCCGCACAGCTCCCAGGCG